AGCGGCTTTCATCTGTCTGATGCCTCGTCGAGTTTTGTGGTCGATACACCCCCCTCCACCGCTCCATCCCTAATGTTAATGCAGCCAATGACCAGCTTTTCTGGACCCTCGACTGTTCTGCGCCTTAAAGAAAGCAGTCCACAGTCCTCAAAACTCCTGCCTATCGACAACTGCTTAACGCTGACGTCGACCCCCATCCAGGCGTCACAGTCATCAAAATTGCGCAGGTCGGCCAGGCCGCTGAATCCATTGGCTGTGCAGGTAATGGAGGCGTGGTACTCGGTACACCAAGAGTATCCCTACCCCAGCCAAAACGACAAACAGATGCTAGCGAGAGCTGGCGACATTTCGACTCAGCAAGTGCGTTTCCCTCTTTTCTTGATTATGCCCTTGACTGGACACGTGCATAGTTATTGTATGACAGATGATCTCCCGCTAAATTTCAGGGTGGTACCTACCCCCGTCCCCTATCTCTAGCCCTCTCGGTAACCCTAATCCTAATCTTAAATCTAACGCACTTCAAAGTTAACGTAAGACCACGTGTAATACAGTGGGAACGTGCCCTTTTCCGTGTCCTAACGTGTGATTTTAATCTGGAAATTCCGACTGAGCCTTAATTGAGTATTGAAAAGGGTACGTTCACGTAGCGGACGGAAGCTGGCTGCTAAATTGTTGTTCTGGCTTATTTAGCGTTTGATAACATCGTTTAAGGAGTTGTCATAGGCAGCTTTTAGGAATCCCGATGACTGCTCCTCCATTTCTGGAAATGTGGTTGTCGCCATTTTCGGGAGAAGAGTGCTCGATTGTCAGGTGACTTGTACTAAACCAAACTTGTAATTAGATAAGGCAGACGCCTTGATTCAGCCAAATTGACCAAATAGCCTGTGAAGACAGGTTCTAGACAAGACAGGGCGGAATAACCTCATCCTCCTGTTCACAATTCCCTCAGTAGTGACATATAATTTGCCCTTTTGCATTTAATTTACTGAAGCAACCCAACACGCCTTGCTCGCTGTTGACTGGGAATCATAATAAGGAAATGGCTTGACAAAATGAATATAATTTTTCGGGGCAAACACTCCCAGACATGGCTTTGTTTTATGCGGAACCTGGGAGCTAACGGTTGGAAGCACCTTATGTAACCACTTTAAAAAATAACTCCCTAATCTAGAGTCCCGATTTCGAGGCAGAACCCTGGTCTTACTCTTCTGAAAACCTCGTCTTTACTTAGCATTTAACTTTAACGCTATTGAAAACTTATCTCAACCCTTTGTATGGCAACGTGTTTTTGGACTTATTTACCTGCAGTTGAAAGGCCCAAATTAAATGCGCCAGTCTTGCGCATTTTTCTGTTTAAACCCCGATCCCGAAAGAGCACTAACCAGATGAACATTTCTGGTAAAGATAAGGGAGATTGGAATGGCGATTTCTGGCTCATTAGCCGTCGTCAATCGGTCATACTCAACCGCAGTTGGTGCAACACACGAGGTTCAAACCCAAAACCTGTTGATCAGACGTCCAACGCTCTGACCAATGTGCCACTGGCTCGTTATCTGACCGGTTTAGATCGGGAATAATGGCATTTGTTGATTAACGCTCACCGATCGCTAACGGAACTCACTCATTCCGCTCTGCCTTAGAGCTCAGTCTTACTCTCCATCTGTTCACACATCTAGCCACTGTGCGGGTTCTGGAGGGGTGGGTAGTGAGGGATAGAGGGATAGAGGCTGGAGAGTGGGTCACGAGGCATAAGGGTACGAATGAGTTTCCTTAGCAATCTGTGAGCATTCATCAACGAGAGGACTAAGTCGCTGTCACAACAGAAAACGGAGTAACAAAATTCGATAAAGCACAGAAATGCGAACCCCACCCCACTAGTGCGGATGGTCATGCGCAAGATTCTACGAAGAATGAATAATTCCGTGTCCTTACAGTAATCTTAACCCAAACCTTCAACCTAAGCCTAAACTTAACTCTAACCCTAACCCAGAACTGATCCCTAAAACTAACCTTCACCCCGACGCTAGCCTTAATCCGTACTCTAGTTTTGTCCCTAGAGTTAATCTTGATACTAAACCTTATCACCCTGGAGATTAGCGCAAGTTACCTGGATTAATGGGAGTTTCTTATAAACATGTAATTCCCAAAACTCTATTCACCCTTTTGGGTATCATAAATGGCGATTCATGTTGGTTTTCACATTACTGACCTCAGTGGGTGACCATGCATCTGTTACACTTGCAAACCTAACCCTCTCCTGTACTATACACAGAAAACTGTTTTAACATACTTCAACACAGTTAGTACTAAACATTCACCCCCCCTTTCCCTGTTTATTCGACCGTTTGCTGCTCCATGCTTCAACTTCCGATCCATGTAAGCTACAATTCACACTTACTAGGTAAAAACAATCTGGCACCTCAATTATATTCACTGTAAGCAACCCATGATTCCAATTCTAATCTTTTTAAATGCTTGTACACAACAAAATGGTGACATTTTCCCTTCCGCCACATTTTCGTGAATGCTGGCACGTTTTGAGTGATCCTACTTTCGGAATTGTGTAAAGCGTTCAACACATGGATCACAATATGTGCAATCCGTAAGGTCTAGGCAAGACTGGTCCTTAACTGACTGCGGATACACTTTTCTGCCGCGATTGCGAGATGATGCTTTTTATCACAATTCTCTGCGAATTGCAAGTGTTGCGTGATGCAGCTGACCTATCTTCTCCACAGTTTTTTTCTTCTTGACCTCCTTCCGTAAAGATAGAGTCATCTAGAACAATAATTACTTTAACCCTTCGTGCACGCACGAGCCACAGTTGACAGTTAGATGTCAACAGAGTAGGCGCAACATCAGGAACTTGCGACTTTATTAGGTTGTACTGATTTAGCCTTGCGAAGGATCTATTGCGCTTACTCTTTTTTCAAGCACACTTTGATCAAATGGTAAGACATTGTCGGGACGATCGGATGCGGGTGCAGGCTTGCCTTTTGCTCGTTGCAATCTCGTTTCTAGTTCTCCCCATTACACATTTACACATTTGTTCTCTAATAGCGCAGTAAGTTTTTGAACAAAAACTTTTCTAATTCGTAGCGGAAAAAGTTTTATGGTAGGCTTCGTATTCCTGGACCCCAAAAAGTGCCCCACTGAAAACGTCTGGTCGTGTTATTTTATGCCAGGTTTCCTCATGGTTTGCCAATCGTCGCAGTCGCAGACAAAATACCCGACCAAAACAAAAAATACGCAAAGTTCGAGAGAGCATCCAAGCCGCCTGTTTGGACATTGAACAGGCGTCAAACGGTCTCGTGAAAGCCGAGGACATCTCTGCGCGCCTTCTCGCCCTTATTGATGAATTCTACCATTCCAGCTGACACGATTTGGCTTTGTGATTTATTTGACAGTTCTTGCCATTGCGTTTTTACGGTTACTTTTGATATTTTGATCGAATAAGTGCATATCAGTTCTGTTTTTTTAATCGTTAATTTTTGTTTAGGGCCAATATTGCTCAGTCGCACAGGTACCTCTCTCCCTTTCAGTCCATTACTTGACAATAAAAAGGGATGAGACGGTCATGTTTCCGAAACATGCACTCTGGAAAACAAAAGGGGCGCTCTAAATGAATTCGCCACTAGCAGTTTTCTTTAAAAAAAACTTTATAAATAAGCCGCACCTGCTTACTGGGTAACGTTTCAAAAATCGAATACAACCTTTTGTGTATACTCAGAAATATTTTATTTTCCAGAGACAAACATTTTAGAAAGTAGCTGATAATCCTTTTCTTAACCGGTTCGGCTTTAGCAGACCAAACTCCTTGAACATGACAGGAAAAACGATCGACTTTCACTAACACCAAAAGGATGCTGCAAAATTGTTTAATTTCCAAGGTTTTCACACCATGGGTTTTCACTAGTTGGACTGTTGTTTTAGGCCTACCGGACAGGAATGTCTAAAAGCAAGCATTTCATAGTGCACAAACAAATTTTCAGCGCTGACTTTAGCTTTCTGTTAAGTAAGCATCGGGCCATGTCGAAAGGGATTATTGAATTAGTGCATCTGTAAGAACGAACTGACGCAAGAATGTCTGCTAAATGACAAGGAATATGAAACTACCTACGAGATCCGTGGTGTTTGCGACACGCGGATGATTATTTCATATACCCATAGGCCGTTTTTTAATAAAGTCGGATAAGAAATTTGTTTTAAGATGCAAGTGGACGTTTGATAAGCATTCGGAGGCGTCTGCTTTTCCCGGCATCATAAATTTCCAGAATACTAAGAACTTAGGGTGGTTAAAGCAGTTGTTTGCGCGTTTAACCACTTTTTAACTTTTGCGCTTGGTTACTATTAGCATATGCAGAGGCGTGCTAATTGTATAAACCGATGTATAGTTTGAATAATGTAGTTTTCCAATTACATTTAAGACCAAGTCAAGTCACCTATTATTGTCCTATATAGGACACCAATCTCCTGCCTTATTTGATACATTTCTTGGGTTATGCGCAACTAAGAACGTACATTTCAACATCTGACTAACAACAGAGAGGGCAATTTTTAAAAGATTGTCTCGCTTCCGGCACAACGATAAACCGACACACATTATTTGCCTTATTTATGTTAGCTACATCATTAAGGCCATTCTTAAGGACAGTGCAAGTTATGCGGTCGTTTTTTTCAAATAACCTGCTGTTTTAAACAATAATTCCTGGGTAAGGTTAGCAGTTAGGTATAGTAAGTCAAGTAAAGCAAAAACTGTCATAAAAATGGATTTTTTCAATTCTTTGAAATAAGTAAACAGATGATGCAACCTTGAACGCATTTAGAACATCTTTCTGATGCAGACCTCACATAACTAAAGATAAAATGAACAACTAGTTGTAGGAATATTTTCATTAAACACATTCATATTTTGCCAGTCAGTCATGAACACTGCTCGGCATTTTAGCTGTTTAATGTTAGATATTAAGTTGGTTTGGCAGATGTGGTTAATTTAGTTGACCCAGTTGTGAAAAAACTCGCGGCATTCGGCGGGAT